CAAATGATTTAGTAATCATTATAATTTATCCCTTTTAGATTGATGAGGTACAGTCTTCATCTAATGAGGAGATCTAAGAAATCTTCTGCAACAACCCATCAATCCAAAACCCTTTTGGATTGATGAGAAAAATTGAAGACAACCCAAAACATATTTAAAATTGCTTCAAAGGCTTGAAGAGCAATGACGTAATAATATGAGAACTGATGGCTTCAAATGAGGGCTATAACCCAATTGAAGATAAAGGGATATAGAATTGGATGTGCGCATGAGAGTGTAGAATTGGATATATGCAACATATGCAAACACTTATAGGTGGAATTTTGAGAAAAAATAGAAATTGAGAGTTTAGAAAGAAAGTAGAAATGGTTGTGCGTATAAGTAGAGTTTAGAGAGAGAGTAGAAATGGATATGCGGAGGAGGGAGGGAGAATAGCGGGAGAATAGATGTGCACATGAAAGAGGGAGAATGGGGAGATAGAAGATTTTTTTGGGCAAGAGACTTGTATAGTTAGATTACCCGTTAAGCACGTAATGGATTTTACAATCATTCTACGCGTAATAGATTTCACGTATTTTTTAAAAAATCTTTTGTAATTTATTTCCAATTTCTTACTATTGAAGTTTACTACTATTGAAGTTTACTATTGAAGTGTACCCAAACATGATAAATCTCATATTTCCTTCTAATATGTTTCTTGTAATAGATTTTCAGTTACCCAAACGGCCCCATAATGTCAAAATAAATAAAGGAATGGCAAACAGGGTTCACATTGGGTTGGCGCCGGTCCTGAAAAATTTAGAGCAGGCTAAATGTAGCTCAGGGCCGAGCCAAGGCCAAGGCCAAGGTCAAGGCAAAGCAGCTTCATCCAGACCCAGGCTAGGTCCAAGACAGAGAGAGAGGGGGTTGGAAAGAGGGAAAATTCACCCACCCAGCCTGTTTCGATAAAAGAGAAAAAATATAGTTGAAAAAATAGATTTAATAGAAGAAAATGTTTTGATAGTACTGCAAGCCTATCAAAATAAGTAAAGCCTCACCTCAAAATTTAGTAGAAATTGTAGTTATGGGGTCCATAGTCTTTGTGTAGAACTAATTTACACCAGTGTTTAAAGTCTTTACGCTAACATAATACTGTGTTTCACTAATTATCTACGACCCAAAATTAAGCCGCCACTTGATGGAGCCGTTATCTAGAGTCCTAGCTTTTAATCCTCACCTGCGGTTTTAGGCGTCCTAACCTTAGAGAAATAGGCATAGCCCTGCTACTCCACACACATAACCCTAGACCCTTAGAAACCCTAAAGACAAGAACCCTAATTTCCCCTTTCATAGACCTATACTTTGGACCTCTGCAACCTTATGCTAGCCAAGACATACACTTAAGCTACTAATCAAAACATAGATTCTAGGTTACATAAATGTACCCTAGACTCTTCTTTTAGACCTTTGGCTTAGATTTCCTCTATCTTATTCAAATCTAAGTTAGTACCGCCTTAGTCATAACTATGTTCGATACCAATTGGCGGATCCTAAGAGGTGAAAGAGGCCAACACAACAATCTTGGATGTGGTCAAGACCACCTTCTAAATGCCGGGCTTGTGGGCCTAGCTTCCAAGTGAGTTCATCCCTTTGCTCTTCATTGTGATTTCATTTGCATATTTCTAGTAGCTTAGTCATAGTTCCCTAATTCATAATCATTTCCCAAATCTCTCCCTTCGTAGCTCTAGATTTTTTGAACTTCTTCCTCTGATTGACTTCATTCCGGTATGAAAGTACTTGGCGTCACGGCCGAAGCCCTACCTTATCGCCCTCGAGCGTTGTGAACATAAGTCCTAAAAATATTGTATATTGTAACACATTATCTAGACCATCCATTTCGCCCTAAAAATAAGTGCTCACCAATCCCCAAGATCTATATCACTTTTTTAGCTACAAATTTTATAATCAATGGTAGAAATTAATTATAGAGCCATCTTAGAAATTTCTCACACCGAAAGTATTTTCAAAACGAAGTTTCGAGGTGAGGCCCTACCCTTTTTTTTAGCCCTTATACGAACTGCATCCTTTAATAAAACCTAGGGTGACACGTTCTAAATCGTGCCCATTCGTAGTTATAGTGTAACTAACATCCCTTCCTATTCTAAATAAATAATAGTGCCAAAAATACCCTATACATAGGCTGGGGAATGAGCCGGGCTGAGCCGGCTTGGGCCTGAGACTGGCCTGGGTCCTTATCGGGCTAGCCCTAGCCCGTCCACTCTCGGTGGAAAACTACACAGTGCATTTATAGGAACTTAATTGAGTTGTATGAATCGGACCGAACTAGTCAATATGACCAATGAACTAGTACCTTCTCGGGTCCGATCCAGACAATGAAATGGGGAAAAGCAGATCTAAACTGGTAAACCAGCCCGTCACGGATCGGGGCCAATTCAACAGCTAAGATGCAAGCTAGCCGTTCCAAATGTGTGGGTAAAATGATAGTTTCAACCCTTCTTTTGCATTTTCTAAAGAAAAAAAAGGGGCTTCATAGGTGGTGTTTAGGTCTTATTAAATACGTAAAGGTTAAAAGGTTTTTCTTGGGTTAAAGTTAAAAAACAACTTATGACTTTTATAAAAGAGAGATTAAAAGAGAGAGAAACAGGTTTATTCGATATGCTCTCCCTTGCTCGATCAACAAGCCTCCGCCAAAAAGACGTCTGGCCAAATTTCGGCAATATTCCGGCAATTTCAACATCAGGCTATTTTTTTATTTATTATTTACTATTTTAATTTAGAGTTTAGAAATTACAAAATAAATGAAAATTTATGTAGCCTTGCTAGTTTTGGGAAATCAAAACATAAGGGTTTTACAATTTTGGAGGTATTTTTCATTTTTGGATGCAATTTTATGTTTTTTTTAACGGAATTTTACAATGTGTAAAAGCCCCTCAAAGAACTAGCCGAAAATATAAAAAGGAAAAACCTAATATTTTTGGATTTTTTCCTTACATATATAGTTTTAATTTTTAAAATTTTAATGTTGTAATTTGTTAGGGCTTTTACAATTAAAATTTGTTAAAAACCCCTAGAAGGTAAATCTAAAAATAAATAAATAAACAAATAGTTTGGTGCAAAATCGTAAATTTTTTATATTCCCTTGAGCTTGGGACATGGTTTGATTCCACTCCCTCGCACCTCTCACCGTGCTAATCTTGCATGGGATTTTATATTTTGTATAAGCCATTAAAACAAAAAATGTATCAAAATCATCTAGTGCCTGTTTTTTGTTTTTTTATTTTATTCATTTAATTTCTGTTTAAAAAAAAAAAAAAAGGTAGATAGGGAAACCAAAAAAAGAATAGATTAATTTTTTTTTCAATTTTTATTTTTTATTTTTAGAAAAAATTTATATGTAAGAATGCCAGCATATGAACTTTAGCTGTACTTAGTTTCTCTTGATCAATATTTTATTATTATCTTATGAGCGTTTTTTTGTTTTGCATATTCTTTACAAATTTAAGTTATTGTATCGCTAATAGTTATTTGTTTTAATTTTTTTCAGATTTTTATTTTCTAATTTTCTCTAATTTTTCCCATTTTTTCCTTATTTTACTATTTTTACGCATTATTTAATTTCTTACACTCGTCGTACTAGTGAATTGGTCTTATTCAATATAAACTAATGCGGGCAAGCTTTCTATGCTTGCCCTATAGCATAGAAGTTCTATCTTCCCCCTTGTCCAACCGTCCATTCTGAATGGAGGGTTAAGATTGCCCCAATCACAATGTCACGTCTCTACGCTATTTTTTTTTAAATTTTTTTTATAAACTATTTTGACACCAAATTTTAAACGTCCATTCCTCTATTAAACTCGCACTAGCGAAAAATATAAAAAAAATATTTTCAATAAAATAAAATGACTAAAATACCCCCGAATGTTTTGAGGGGCATTTTGGTCATTACATTTTATCAAAAAAAAAATTTAATATTTTTTATAGGCGCGCCTCAATGAGAAATGGCACGTACCAAATTTTATATTCATATAATTTGTATAAAATAAAAAACAAAAATAAAATACTTTGAAACGTCAGATCTAAAAATTAAACGATGAGTGGCTCTCTTGATCAAAATTGGATGGCTAGACGGTAAGGGGAGGATAGAACTTCTATATTGAAGGGGAAGCATAGAAACCTTTCCCAACTAATGCCCTCACCAATTCAGTCGCCGGTCCGATCCTCATGAGTCAAAATATTACTCACAACTAGCTAGTGTATAATGTGTCACACACTTGTTGTGTATCTAAACCATGGCATAATCTATTCAAGTTTCAAAATAGGGAAAATATCTCAATAGACCCCATTTTTTAGAACAGTGTCCCCTGAATTTTGAAGACTATCTTGCGGCGTTAAATTTTTAGTGTTTATTCTCGTTTGATGCTTTTAATAACATTTTGTTTTCCTAAATAAGAGAAATGATCCTATAGGACCTTCCCCCACCCATGTGTGTAGAACTTCAAAACATCACCATTAAATTTGATACGAATCTATAGAAAAATAAAGTCACACACCTATATAATAACTTTTTTAGAGATTCGTACCAATTTGAATGGTGATCCTTTAAAGTCCTACACAGGTAGGTGGAGTAAGGTCCTATAAAATCATTACTCCCAAAATAATATCCCAATTCCCTCCCTCATTTTAGGTACTATCTCATTTCTCCCTCCAACCTGTCTCCTTCGCTCAAGCCCCCTCTCCCTTGAACCTCTCTCTCGCTCACGTCCCCCTCCCTTCAAATCCTCTCTTTATCTATATGTCGCGTCTCTCTCTAATCCTAGAGCCAGAGGCCTGCAATCAAAGCATGACTCATTTTCCGGCCATTTTTCACAACGAGAAATCCTAAGGTATCTTGATGGAAATTATCTTTCTTGACGAACCTGGTTTTTTACATTTGAAGAAACCCATTCGCTAAAACTAGCAGGGTCACCATACCGACCTCCGCTGGCCTTGCCCTCATTGAAATGGAGAAAACTATAATCTTCGACTTTAATCTCACTCTCCCCATCACTGGCGAATTACTGCTCCTTATGAACAGTGTGAGAGACACATCAAAGGAGGTGAAAGAGGCGCAAGCCGCAGCCATGCTGAGCGCGGTGAGGGCAGAGATGTCATGGGCACTGAATCAGATGAAGAGGGAGGTGATTATGGATTTGGAGGTGAAGATGGTTGGGGTGGAGACCATAAAGGCCATTGACTCAGAGATTGCGGCCCTCACCTTGGAGATTATGAAAAACGATATCGACAAGAAACTACTGGTGTCTTGTGACCATTTTGGTGTTTCTCTTCTTCCTCTCTCTCTCTCACAGTGGTTTGTGAATGAAGGGTAAGGGTTTGGAGGAAATGAGAGAACACAAACAAAAGCTCTTCGATAGAAAATAGTCATATTCTCAAGCCTAAAGAGATTTGATGAAAAACAATCATATTTTCAAGCCTAAAGAGGACTCCTGACCTTGCCACTAAACTGGGCCATACCTAAACCCCTCTAAATTTTAGAGCACCTCATATCTCTCTCTAAATATATACAAACCCTTATTTGTCCCTCCATTAGTGGAGAGAGACTCGTGAAGATCATGTGTACTGCTCCATTACTACTGAAAAATAAATGGAAAATCTACCATAAAAATTTGGATAGAAACCGGTTTTTTTTTTTGTTAATCAAATAGCAGTAGATTAGAGAGAGAGAAAATAGGGGGTCGGAAAAGAGGCTCCGAAAAAGATAAGGAGGTTCCGGGAGAGAAGATATGAGAGAGATACAGAGGTGAGCCCATGGCGTATGAGAGAGAGAATTGAGATAGTGGATAAAATGAGAGAGGGTAGATTTAGGGGGATAGCAAAATGCTACTAAAAGCATCAAACGGGGATCAACAATGTTGGGGTTTTGCAAGAAATGATTTTAAGAACTTCAATGCCGCAAAGTAATTTTCAAAGTCCAAGAGACATCGAGAAACTGTTCTAAAAAATAGAGTCTACAGAAATATTTTTCCTTCAAAATACACGAGTCTTTTGGTGCCCCCGGTCGCATGGCATCACGCAAGAACGTTCTGCAACTCTGAGGTACAATCGGACGGTCAATAGAAATTCACTCTAATCCAACGGTCCAAAATAGGGTGAAAATACGGGAGGACTTCGAAGAGTCGTGATTGCCTGCCTAGTTCCGGGTTGCATCTTTATATAAACTTTTTTCCCTTTTTTATTTCTAGAAAATGACCCACAAGTACGACGATGGCCACATACAAAGACAATATACAAAAACATAGGCTCATAAAGGCGGACTGAATCGTATTTACCTTACAAGAGATGGGTTTTATTGTCTTTACCCAAAATTGAGGGGATAGAGTTATGGTATCGTCGCCACCCATATGTCATAAAAGTACAAAGAAACAAACACACACCCGGTAACCTGTCCCATTGGAAATCAAAACTGATCCACTTTTTTTTTTTTTTTGTTTTCTCACTCTAAAAATCCCGTTTCGACCCACCCAATTTAATTCTTGTTTTCTTCTCTCTCTAAAACTCCACATGTTACTGTTTTGTAAAGTCGTTTCTCCCCTCACCAAACCCAACCCAACCCAACCCCCGCGCATAAGGCACCCAAGACTTCCTCAAAAGCGGCCATTTACATGTATTCTCCTCCATTCTCTATATCTAAAATAACCATCTATCCATCACGAAACCTAAGCCACTAAATCCTATCATCATTTTTCTCTCTCTCTACCTCAATTACCACTTGCATTTGGATAACGATGGCAGAAGAAAGACGTATATTAGGCTTTTTTGGATTTCCATGGAGAATTTTTTTGGGTAGCCATTCTTCAAAAAAGTAGGGTATGTCAGTGGAGATTTATGCCTATGATCTTTAATGAGAATCGAGTAAGAGACCTACTCATGACTTATTCATGAGGCGTCAAGGCACCTTTAATGAGAATCAAGTCAGAGACCTCCTCATGAGGTAAAAAAAGTGATAAGTCAATGTGGATTTGGGCCCCTACCATTTGATTAGGAATTAAATTAGAGACCTCACCATGATGTTTGACAATACTACCACCAAGCCCCAAGTCATCCTCTCTATTTAGACTATAGAGAGATACTAAACCTAAAAACCTAGAGATATAGGGATACTTGTGGTTTTGAAGAAAGAAATTTAAAGGGTTTGGTTTAGATGGAGACCAGCTGAGCCAATCTCCCGGTTTTTAAACTCTGTCTTGTAAACACGTTTTTATGAGTCCATGTTGGAATGAGCCACCTCTTAAAAATTTAGTTTTGTGATGGCTTTTTGGACTTAGTTTTTAAAGACATGTAATATCTAACATGAATATGAATAAATAAATAAATTTTAAATAAAATAATAGTTTTATTTAAAAAAAAAACAGTTAGACTGTCAGTTTCAATTGTTTTTAGATGCGGATCCGGTTTCTATGTAGCTAAGCCCGTATATGTAGAAACACGGGCTTCTTAATAAATCTACTTTTGAGATGGATTTTAAGATTTAATGTTTAAGGACATGTAATTTCTAACATGGAGATCATGAATATGAAAACATAAATGAATTTGAAAACTAAAAATAATAATTTTAGAGAGAAAATATTTGGACCGTTAATTTTCATCATTTTTAGAAGGAACACCCACTAACATCTATCTTTAAGATGGATGCTTTACACTTTCTGGACAACATAAAGGCCCGCATGAAACAATTTTGTTTTAGATGCATTACCTATTGGGTGTGGTTTCTGCGACCTTAAACAATTCAAATAAGGTGCACCTCCAAATTTTATCATAATATATATTTTTATTGTAAAATATTATTAGGTTTTTCTCAAAATCTATTTTCATATCTAATCATAAAATTTTAAACTCTAAAAATGATTAAAATCAAATAGATCTATAAACATATGAAAATCTTGAAATTTGACGATCCAGATAATATGTTGCAAGATGCATTGTTTCTAGAACTCAAAATCTTTTTTCTTTCATATTCATACATCACGATGTTAAGGTGATCAATTAAAGGGGTTTTCAACATTAAAACAACCTTTTTCGGCGGATTTTTTTAGATGTATATGTAATACTACATTTTAAGGATATATAAACTTTTTTTCTTACCTATTTACGTCCATTTTATACCTCGAGGACTGCAAATGTAATTCGTCCATGAAACGATTTTCCTCTTCTTAAAGAAGTAATCTCAAATTCGCTTAGATCCAACGGTTGAGAGAGAAGGGCCATAAGGGAAGGGCCGTAAAGAAAGATTCCCAAATTAGAATAGGTCGAGCCGTACGGTGTCTGTTTTGTTCGGCCGCACGCGGACCGGACGGTTCCGGAAGACTGATTCATGGCAACCGGCGTTGCACGTCGACCGCGTGGTTTACCAGTACGGCCGGTCGCCACCCTATATAAGCGGCCGAGACGAGCGGACACCCCGTGCTTTCCACACGTTCTTCTTAATTCACTGTGCTTATATTCTTGAACGCCTTCAGTTCCAGGTGATTTTTTCCCCATTTTTCTCCTTTTTTCTGATTTGGTTTCTAGAGTTCATGATTTACGGTTTTTACCCTGTTTATAGGGCGAATTTGGGTTTTAGATCTGCGTTCTGGGGCTTTTATTTGATGAATGTTGTTTAATGTTTGAATATGATCAATTTCTTAGGTCTTTGATTTATGGTTTCGGTTTCCTGAATGTGACTATGATTGTCGATGTAATATATGTGATTTAATGATTTTGTGTGTCTGTGACGATGGTTATGGCTGTGATGTATGTGAAATTTGTCAATTCACTATGTGATTGTTGGCCCCTTCAGCAATCCCCAAAACCCCAATTAAGGGGAAAAGGAAAAAAAAAGCAAGGAAGAAAATCAGGGAATTAAAAATTTATTTCAATTAAAGGATAAAGAAGGAGTCTACAACTGCATCAACGAAAATTGATTAAGCAAAGTCCTTTTTTCTTTTGTTTTTGCTTCTCTTAAAATTTTTGTTTGACAAAATAATAGGTGGATACCCTCTTTTTTATATTTTTTCATTTCCTTTGACAAAAATGGAATAAATTGGATGGATTAGTAAATCTGCAAACACAAATTGATCAAGTTTCTTTCTCTTTTGTTGGTAAGTATTTTTTTTTATCTCTCAGTTTATTAGAACTTTTCTATTTCCTCCAAAAGCATGGGTAGGAATCTTTTTTCTTCTTTTATTAAATCCGTCTTTTGAACTAGTTGATGAACAGGTTTACAGCAATAATCATTTAAAAGTGGTCATTTCGTATTTTCTTTCAAAATATTTGTTTTCCCCAATGAATTTTTTTTTTTTATATTGTACCTTGATAGAATGATATGTATGTGTAATGGAGTGAATTAGATTCTTTTTCTAGGCCTTGGGGTGTATTATAACTGTTTATTTAATCAATGTTGGGTTCGATAACTCGCATTTTTCTTTTTCTTTTCTTTTTGCTTTTGGTCATTTCTTTTGATCACATCTGTTGCTCAATCATTCATGTGAAGGGCTCATTTTCAGTTGCTAAACCTTAGCCAACTTTTTGACTGATTAATCTGTGTTCTATCTTCATTGAATCGATTGATTTAGAGACAATAAAGCTAGATCTCATGTAGTTGATTATCAATTAACTATGCTTGTTTAATATCAACTGGCAAAGACTTTCTCTTGGGTAGGGTTAACCTTGTTTAGATTCCATGGACATTTTAAGTTTTGTTTAGATTAATCATACATGTTGCATCATGCATGGCATGGCAATGGGTTCTTTTCGAGAAATATGGGGATGGCTTTCTTCTGTTGAAAATGAACCTGGAAAGATTTTGGTTACTGCTAGATATAGGGAATAAAATTTGTGCATGATATTAGAAGTTTAACTTTGCTCAGAACACCATGTGCATTAACTTACATAATGGGAATTTGTTTTATGTTAGTTCAGAGTCTCATGTGCCAAATATCTTGGTGTATCTTACTTTTCTTCATTCTACAGGATAAACCAGTTTATCAGAAATGGATAACTTCTTGAAAGGTGTGAGTGACAATTTTTCGTCCGACAGATTCTTTGCTGTTCAGGACATTCAACGATGTCCATTTTTGAGGAACATCAACGAACCCACAAGCTTCTCTTTCTCTTCTCCAGTAAATTTCCCCACACCAGTACGTCTCTCTCTCTCTCTCTCTCTCTCTCTCTCTCAAATACAAACATTAGTCCAGTTCTCTCTCTCACACACATTCCAACAATTGTATTAAAGGATTTTATTTATTTTTGATCGGGATATGAGGATGTTGGACAAGGATGGGATGGCTACCTCGTGCTTTCCACTTGAATTGAATTTTCCTTCTGATTTAAGCACTGTGCTTCTATCAGCATTCGATGAGCAGCAAGCATGTCATTCTTTAGCAGTACTTGGATGTTAATGGGGAATTTTCACACTCTAAAATTGTTCATACGTGCAACTGCTTAATATCCTTTACACTGGTCATGTTGCTACATGTTTTTCCATCTCCATTTTGGAACCATGTGCATTGCTTTTGCGATAGAGACAACCATCTAACTAAAGAAATCAGAAAAGAGAAAATGTGTCGGTACAATTTGCATAGGCTGATTCTGTGCTGATTTTTAAGTTATATTAGTTTGAAGACTATATGCTCTGCTTTGGATATCTGAATTTGTTTTATCTTGCAGGTCCGAGGAGCTAAAGGTCCAATATTTGAGGATGGGCCCAATTTTGATCTGGCATTTAGGCTCTTCCATGGTCGTGATGGAGTCGTTCCCCTTTCAAGAAGGTCAGTTCCCTCTTCTGAGATTCCAGAGCCTCCCTATCCGACTCCTCAATTTAACCCTTTGGCAGCAAAGGCAGCCACCATTAGCCTCTCAGCTTTTGGACCTGGTGGGCCCTTCAGCTTCGACACCTTTAATGAGAAATGGAAGAAACAAAAGAAAAAGCCCTCCAAGAAGGAACCCTCTAAACAGGTAAAGTACCATTTCAAGATTTTTTCATCCTCTTCCGAAACGAAAAGAAGGGAAATGAAAAAGATTTTTCTGTTGTGTTACCAAATTTTACAATGCTTTATAATAAAAAAATTATATCAATGCTTTAGCCCCATCTTAGCAATCAATAGCTATTTGAAATTGATGCCCTGTTGGTTGGTAATGTCTACGACAAACTCTAGTGGCACGATATTCATTGTTGAAGTGACTGGTTTAATGGATAGTTGCATAGTGGAGATGGCTTAAAATGCAGATTATATCGGCCAATCTGCTACACTAGTTTGACTTTTAGTTTAGTTTGTGTAGTTGTTGAGATTTGCTGTACCTTACGTATATACTACAGTTTAACACTTTAAAATAAAAATAAAAATGTAACACGCTTTTGGGTGACTTTGGTGTTGTCTCTTCAGTTCTTTGACCTCATTGGACAGGCCATATATATATATATATATATATATATTAATGGACTACCCTTTCTGGGCTGTCTGCACCATCTGTCCTACCTAACATCTACTCCCTCAGTGTTTTATTTTTCAGACTAAGAGGATATTGGATATGCCATTTGAATAAACCCTGTCTTCTTTCTTTTCTTTCTTTTTTTCGAGACAAAACCACCTGTGATTGAGAAATCTAAAGAACTACCAGTTTTCAGTAACAAATGCGAATTCTGGTGAAGTTTGAAATTAGGGAAATTTATCAATGACCCATAAGCGATAAACTATTTTGAAATCAACTCAAGAAATATGGGAAAATCAACTCATGTGTATTTGGATGAAATCCCTTGAAATTATATGAGAAAACTGTTTGCAGGTTTGGTCATGATGGAATGTGTCTGTGTTGTGTTTTGAGAGTCAATCGAATGAGAGTTTGTAGTTCAGGTGTATCTGTGTATGCATGCATTTGAACACGTGGTAGTTCTGCTGAAATTCACATATCCAGTGGCATGGTATTATAATTACGGATTGCTGCTTTTGTAGTTCACTCTTTTGTTTGACCAGTCTTCACTTCATTCTACACACAACAAAACCAATTTCTCACTCTTTCTCCCCCCCCCTTTCAACCAGGCTGACTCTCATGAGGCCATGAGCAATGATTGGCTTGAGACCGGAAATTGCCCTATCGCCAAGTCCTATCGTGCAGTGAGCCGAGTCCTACCTTTGGTCGCCAAAGCCCTTCAACCACCACCAGGCATGAAGCTGAAGTGCCCACCAGCTGTGGTGGCAGCTAGAGCTGCGTTGGCTCGAACCGCTTTAGTAAAGACCCTGAGACCCCAACCCTTGTCTGCAAAAGTGCTCGTAATCGGAGTTCTGGGAATGGCAGCCAATGTGCCTTTAGGCATTTGGAGAGAGCACACTGAAAAGTTCTCTCCATCTTGGTTTGTAGCTATACATGCAGCTATCCCCTTCATAGCTATGTTGAGGAAATCAGTTTTGATGCCTAAGTCAGCTATGGCATTTACTATTGCAGCTTCAGTTCTGGGCCAAGTTATTGGATCAAGGGCTGAGCGCAGTAGGCTTAAGACGAAGGCACTCTCGGCTGAGATGATGGGGAAGGTAGAGAGTGAGGGGATCGATGTGGAAACAGGTTTAGAGGGAGTAGATATGATGACATTAACCGGAGGTTATAATGGAGATTTTAAGAAAGAAGGGATAACTAAAGCTGGTATAGAGCAGAAGCAGATGGAAGCAATGGGTGTAGCAAAGTTAAGTGTGGAGACCCAGGAAATGGCATCAATGGGGAGGAAGGCAACTTTAACTGGTGTGAGCTTGGAGCAAGTGGGAAGGAATGATGGTTTTGTTGGGCAGGCTGTAGAGGCTGGGCGGGGAGGTGGAGGTGGAGGTGGAGCTGGGCCGTGCAGTGTAGCTGTATGCTTTTGAATCATGGGCTCTCTTTCCATTTGAGTGATTAATTGTGGAATATTTCCCTGGTGTTTGGGACATTGAAAGAATACAAGGATGGCCTTGTCTAGAAACTACAAATTCATGAATAAGATATGTTCAGATCTGTACTTTTTATGATATGTTTGTTTCCTTTTAGTGGTTTGCTTTGTTGGCTTGCGAGATTTCATTTCGCAGTTGAATCGCACCAGAAATTAAGATGGTTGCCAAGAAAATGTGTGCAAGGTAAAAAACAGCAAACCTAAACCTGCTATTCTCAAATTGCGTTGCATTAGGTGAGGTGAGGTGTGGCATTCTAGAAGGGAAAACTTTATTGGGTTGGACTTTTCTAAGCTTTTCAAATGAGCATGTGCGTTAGGTACATGTATTTGGATCGAAGGCTTTATTATCTTGGACTCTTTCAAGTTTTGCGGATGCGTGTTTTAGGTCAAACATTTTGGCTCTCTCCCTCTCTCTCTTTTACATGACCACATCCTTTCCAACCAAACCAGTCTTTTAAAATAAAGAATGAGTTTGCAACTTTAAAATATAGAATTATGGTGTATCTAAAAATTCCATGGTAAAATGCTATTTTGAATTTAGAAAACCCTCTAATTGATTGTATCAATATTGAGCTATATAATTATGAAATGAAAAAGGATTTTGAGTCTTAAAAATGGTGCAACACATTATTTTAATCGATTGGCCTCTTTCAAGATTTTCATGTGTTTGTAGATGTACTTGAACTATTTATTGAGTTTAAAATTTATAATTAAAAATAAAAATAGATTATCAGGCTATCCTAATACTTGTTGACACCAAAGTTATTTGATTGTTTGGTTTGCAACCGTATGCAAACCACACCCGTTAAAAAACCATGATCAAGATCGAAATCTCCGCATCCGGAGCAAGTTTGAAAAGTGACCTCTTGGTTTTTTTTTCTTTTCTTAATCGATCCGTTTTGTAAAAGAACTACGTGACTCGAACAAAATAAATTGGGTAGTACGAGAGAAGGAAAATTCTTTTATGCTGGCTGGACCGCATTTCTGCAATGTGCAGTTCCAATGTATAAAGCATCCATAAAAATGGATGCCAATAGGTGGTTCATTGAAAAACAATTGAAACTAACAGTCGAAATGTTTTTTTCGTAAAATTATTATTTTTATTTTTTAAATTTTTATTTATTTTTTTATGTTCATGATCTTCATGTTAGAGATTACATGTCTTTAAAAATTAGGTCTGAAAATCCATCTCAAAAATAGATTTTTAAGAGTCTACTCATTTCTACATAAACTCTTAGAAACCGTGTCCGTGAATGGACCATTCCCAAAAATCAGCTGTAGCATTTTCTGTTTTTTTGACATTATAGAAAAAGGCCCAACCCGCTTTTCTCTCCTTTTCTTCCTTAGTTTGAACCAAATAGCTCTGGAATGGAGTTTTCCTCCTTTCGTTGCGGTTTCCACGAGGTTGCAACTTTAAATGATCAAATTAAGACGCACCTCAAAAGTTTATCTTAACATGTAGTTTTAGTGTCAAAAATGCCTGAATATTGTTTTCATCGTTGATTATAGAATTTTAAACTTCAAAAATAGTTCACATCAAGTAGATCTATAAACATACGAAAATCTCGAAAATGGACTGTCCATATAATGTGTTGCAAGATACATTATTTTTGGGACTCAAATTTTTTTTTTCTTTTTTTCATAAACATCTCCATGTCGAGATGATCAATTCGACGGTTTTTCACATTAAAACAACCTTTCTCAGTTTTTTTATTAAATTGAATCGCCACTTTTTAAGGGTTGGAAAATCTCTATATTTTAATGTTTATCAAATGATTCCATAAATATAACAAAAGATCGCAGAAATAAAGGATCTTTTTCACAAAGAAAAAAGTGTTATCTTATATATTAAATCAAAAATTTGGACAAATTATTTGATTTTGAAAGACCGTACAATTTAAATCAAACTAAAATCTTTTTTTTTTTTTTACCCTTTTCTTGGTTCAAATTTCACTATGTTCAACCAGATTGCCTGAAGGTACACTCGCCTTTTGAAAATCTGGTCCAGATCGACAAACCAGACAGATTCTCGTGTGGGATCAATCCCAAAAATAATTGAAGCAATAATTCAAATTTAAAACAAAAAAATTAAAATATAATAAAACTAAATAAAATAGCAAGGGCAAGGTTCCTTGACAAATGGACAAGTCAATGGGAATTGGACCAGTTCTTTGTTCCAACTACAAATCAAGTCAAGCCCTACCACTGGGAAGGAGTCCGGGTCCGGGCCAACCCAGACCCAATAGGATCTGTTCAAACCCAACCTAAAAATTAAAATCTCTATGTATTTAATTATATTTTAATATATTTCATAATTTAGACCCGACACCCATTGGGTCCAATTTTTGGACCCATACCCGGACCCTGATCAGGTCCACCCCTCGGGTCCTGGGTCAGGTCCAGGTCTAGGTCCATTACCACCCCTACCTATCAATTCCCGGATCCAAAATCAGCAAAAAAATTTCCCCAGCTTTTGATGATCTAAGACAATAATGTCTCATTTTTCATAAATTTAATATTTTTATAATGTTTTCGCTTCATCAGTTCTGATCCAAAAAACCTTTTTCTACGAATTTTCCTCTTTATCTAACTCATCCAAAAAACCAACCCAAATAGCTCTTTCAGAATCTCTTATATTGAGATGCCCTCAGGATAGTTCTCCAAAATGAAACGAATCAATTCATAAAGAAAAGACGATAAAGAAATGAATATAAGATCACGAAATAATATACGACCAATTAAACGGATAAAGAAAGACAAACATATAAGTATGAGATCATGAAATGGTACGACGTATAAAGAGAGACAAATATGATATCTAGAAATAATATATGACCAATTTCAAGATTTATTTCTGACTTCTCTCATTGTTTGGTTAAATGTAAGACAACTAGAAGGGTAATAAAACAAACAAAATTTCTTCTCATTTTTCATCTTTTGTGATTTCTTCTCATTTTCCTCTTTTAACTCATAATAAAAAAACACTGCAAATTACATATCTAAATATATTTCTTGAAACTCTTAAAAAACACTGGCAAAAATGTAAAGTGATTTCAGCCTGTAACGGCTCTTGATTTTAACATGAAAGTTCAATGGTAACGGACATAATATGTTTGTGGCGGTCGATTTTTCCCCGTCATCCAAAAAAATGTAACAGCGACAAGCCCATATGCAAAAACATTGTTCATTTTGGCCGGCCAATGGGTGTTGCAGAAGGCTTTCCTTTCTCATGATATGTATATGTTTTACACATGGACATGGTTTTGGTGACTCAGCCGACTCAATTATTACAGTGCTATACCTTGTCTATCAAATGTCCATCTATAACATGGATGTCAAAAAAATGTTCCATCCACCAAAAATCAAAATAGACGCCGGAAAAAAGAATTCAAAAAACAATATTTATATTTTTCAAAAAAAAAAATTTCAAATTTAGATCATTGTCATAGTTGAGATTATTGAACCTTAAATTTTTGGATTGAAGATACATCTTTGATATATATTTCGAAGGGAGATCGCACAAGAATAGGTGAGTCAGCCGACTCACCAATACTTTTTGAGAAAAGAATGCACAACTTCCCACCATTTATCAAAACAAAATATATATTACAAAAAAACAAAAGACAAACAAAATGGTCACCTATGGAACTTACCATGCGCCAAGTAACTCAAGAGCGTTTCTGTACAATAAGTCTAAAGGGATGACCTGACAGCAAAAGAAAGCAAAGCTCTAGAAACTAAATGCTCTTCTTCAGAACCAGGCTTCAGATGGACACCACCGTCTCCTGTTTCAGGGCTTATTCAATGACCACCACCATAACTGTTAACCCTCATTCCATAACCACCCATTGAGCCCGTGTTCCCATAGGAACCCCCACCAACTCCCGGACAGTCTTTTGCCCAGTGGCCACTTTGCTTACACTTGAAGCATTGGTCAGAAGAGCCCCCAAAACTTTGTTCAGAATTTGAAAGCCTATTCCTAGGGCAATTCACGGAGTTATGCCCAACACCTCCACACTTGTAACAATTCAATGAAGCATTCCCACCGTTGAAACCCATGTTGTTTGAGCTCATAGAAGCATTCCCATTGTTGAAACCCATGTTAGAGTTCATCGAAGCAGTTCCACTGTTGAAACCCATGTTAGAGTTCATCGAAGCAGCCCCACTGTTGAAACCCATGTTGTTAGAGTTCATAGAATTACTCCCACTGTTATATCCCATGTTAGCCAACTGACCCCCACTGCTACTTTCCCTTTTAACATACTGAACCCCATTGCCATTCTCAATTTTAACATTCTGACCGGCTATATTAGTTCCAAGGCTATACCCACTTCCACCAGAATGAATGCTGCCCATGCTGGTTCCCACCCCTGACACACCAGGAGGGCCCCCAGCTGAGAGCTTCTCCTTCTCTAACATCTCAACCAGATACTTGCACTCCGATGAAAAATTCAACTTTTCAACCTTAACTATGGTGGATTTAACACGCTGCTCATCACTGTAAATCTCCTCCTTGACTTTCAGCTTGAACATATACTCATTAAACACCACATTCCTGAGTATATCTGCAAATTTCACATCATCTTGTTCTTCATATTTTAGAAAGTATAAATCCTTTGCGGAAATACCCATGAGTTCTTCTCCGGACTCTTGGAATGCAGTTACCCAAGTTAACCCAGTGTGGTCCTGTATTTGGGCCTGAAGGAGGTACCTGTAGTCACATTCAGGGAAGGTTTGCTCACACCTATCACAGTGCCAAGTGCCATCGCCATTGTTGTTCACCTTCTTGTTGCATTGCCTATCCCCAACCATAAGGGGGCAAGCAGTATAGCAGAAGTTATCCACCTTGATGAAGGAGATAATGGCCTTTACAGTGATCCAATCTGGCTTTTCCGACCTTCCAAGCCCCTCATCCTTGATTTGGGCCACAGTTTTTCGACTATCAGCCCTAGATGTATTATATGAATCTCGGGATATAGAGGGGAAAGGCATGCTCTTTCCATCTCTATCAAACCATTCTCTTAACTGTTGTGCCTCAGGGAAATCAGGGTTTATAAACAACTGGCTTGTAGAGATCGTGCCCACCGATTTCCCACTAAAATCATTCACCCTACCAGCCTTCACTGCCAATACAGGAAAGACCCCAGAATCACACATATCTTGGAGATGTTGGCCTTCATTATTGCAGAAGTTTCCCCATAAGGTCACCTCGACCCCTCGACCTGACATGTCTTTGAGTTGAAGTGTCCTTTTTTGAGTCTCAGTACCATTCTTTCTCATTATAGTGGCTGAAGGATTAATGGATGATACAATTCCTATCAGATCGACCATAGAGTTGCTCTCCATGTGCTCTATCTCATTGATGGGCCTGAAGTTGAATTGCTGCCTCGGAATAGAGGGGTCCTCCTCCATGCAAGGTTCTATTGTAGAGGTGGACTCAAGGAAGATTTCCCACTCGTTATTGAGGTGATTGAAGTTCCTTTGAGCTGGCTTCAAGCTCCCTTTCGATACCAAGTACACCTTTCCGACCTCAAGCCTGTCATAGAACTGGTCAGCTACTGCATTAAAGCAAGTTATGCGAATTTCTCCACCTTCTGAATCAAGGAGATCAAAGGAAAAGACCTTCCCCTCCCCCCTAGGGTTGTTATAACGCCTAAGATCACCTTTGGCCGTAACCCTAGCCTTAATAGTCCATCTCCCTTGGTAAGGATTCAGAGCTGCAATGGGGATTATCCTTGTCGGGGCTTCATTCTTGGCTATGGGCCCTCTGTTCACATACATTGGGGGAGGTTGATTATAACTTTGCTGGCCCATAGGAGGCCGGAATGTGTTCGTTTGAGGACGCATAGAGTTTTGGTTGTAACCAACCATGTTGGGTGATGGTGAATTATTGTAGCCTCTAGCTAATGACTCTGACCCAGACTGCCTAAAACCTGGTTCTGGTGTTACATTCATGGGAGGTCCTCTATTGATGTTTGGCCCTGATGGAGGTCGAGGATTATTATATGAACCAGCTCCAACTTGAGGGTTTTCCATCATTAGGGGTCTCTGCTGAGGCATGGAAGATGACTGAACAGACATGGGAGGACCACTTCCAGGCGTTGAAGGACCACTTCCCTGCTCAGGAGCAGAAGGGTTTGTGGATACATAAGGTCTTGGATTCCCAACTACTTCGCAGTCTGTAAGGACGACTTCCATGTTCAATATGATGATGATCCTGAAAAGGGCAAGGAGGATATGTATATATTATGAAAAGAATAGAGTAAATATAACCACCCAAAACAACATCATTTACCAAGAAATTACAAAGGTGTCCAATAAATGGAAAACCATGCACAAGAAAATAATAATATTAATAATCAAAGCAGTTTAGTACTTAATAATCAAACCAGTTTAGTACTCCTTGCCAAAGACAATGAGGCAAAAGGTCATTAAGCAGACAATGTGATAAACCAACCAGTGAAAACGACTGCAATTTACATGGATCACATTAGTGTGAGCAACCAAGATTGCAATCCAGATTCCAGATAATCCTGATGCAAACATCAACTATCAATCTGGATATGACTCAGCACTGGTGAAAATTGCATCAACCTTTTCTTTTGGGAATGTAGCATCAGAACAAAGAAAAATAAAATAAAATTCCAAATACTTTTCCTTATTCATAATGGAACCATCGTAAAAAGCCAATAAAAGGAAAATATTCTCAATGACATTTTTCTTGTAACAATTGTCACTATAAAATATATACAAAGATCGATTTGTAAGAAACAGTAAAATAAAAAAGTGTGGGACACAGGCTTCACATGTAAAGACAACCCCATTATCAGCCACATATAAGGGTTTCCTTCCCCGCCAATGGACACCTAAACTAAAAACAAAGATAGAAAGAAAGAAATTTCTAAATCAGCCTCTAGTAAATAAATAATCCATCATGCGAATGGTGTAACCCGCTAAACCATTTGATCATGCTCGGACACCTCCACTACAGCCAAAGTCCAGCAAAGGGGCGCCAAAACTCTAAGACAACTAAGGAGCACCCTGGTCTCCAACTCCACGCGGTCCACCATGCTAGCCCAACCCACAAAAACCTTCACCTAATCAAAACCATCTTTTAGCAGCCATCAGAGAGTCTGACAACAGCAGGAACATGGTTATTAGTAGAAAAGAGATTGAAGTCACCTCAATATAATATGGCATCTCCCCATTGAGAAGTGGGCCTGCTAACCACCCTCAGGTACTACATCCAGGATCTCAAACTACAGCAAAATGATCACCATAATACATTGGAAATAATTCCAAAAACTGTAACAAAATCATAGAGCAAAAAACAGTGTTCCAATATTACTGTAAGTGACAACTTTAATGCAACCACCATTGTGGAAATAACTGCCAGTGAGAACCAATCTCTAATTACCAAACAGCTGAACACCAGTAACATAGGCTTGGGGACATGAGTATCTCACTATTACCTATCTGAAAACCGTAAGTGACAACTTTAATGCAACCACAATTGTGGAAATAACTGCCTGTGAGAACCAATCTCTAATTACCACACAGCTGAATGCCACTAGCATAAGCTTGTGGCTATGACTATCTCACTATTGCCTATCTGAATAGCAGCATTACCTGTGTGTGCTGACAAATGCAAAGATTTCAAATTGAATTAACAAACCAGGTCCTTATCCATACATCCCCAGCATGGGGGTAAATAACCACTCTGACAACCCTATAAGCCTCAGCGATAAATCCACCACATCCGACGTTCAAAAAGGCAGAGGCGGCTGCCTAAGCAGGTGCCCAGATACCTGGGCAGCCTGCATAGACCTTGCGGGTTAGTGGAACCCCCATGTTTTTGTGTATCAGATATCTTTTTTTTGTGTTATAAAGATTGTTTTATAGTTTTTGTATATAATATTGTACAGAATTACAGATCAAATTCGCATCGCTTTGGCCAAAGAGGGCGAAGCCTTCGGATTTTAGGTATAAACCGAAGAAAAGCGAAGCCTAGTGCTGCCGCTTCGATCAGATTTGGACCGCTTTGGGTTTGCTTCGGGTATGCTTCGAGCAGCAAAGAAATAGCCATACAAAAGTATTGTTTTATTTGTATACATTTCATATATAAAAGTTTTCCCCTGAATCGGCCGAAGCACCGAATTGCTTCATTTGTCTCACATAACCAAAGAAGACTCCGAAACGAATCTGACAAAATTGCTTTGAACTATGAATGGAATAGCTAAAAGTAACATTAAAAGTATGAAAATTACTAGGCCTAACTAGCAAATATTAATTTTCCACTACACTTATACATCTCACAACAGACAACTAACAAAAAAAACAAAGGTCAAAAACTCACAACTCAAATTGCATAAACTAACAAAAGTAGTTTACTGGATGACAAATATTTGGTTTGGGGGCAATGGACTTTTTCTATTGAATTGCTTACCCAAACTAAAAGTCACAAGTAGTATCAATTTACCATAAGATTAATGTCTCTTTTCAATCTAATTGGACCTCCCAATGTAAAAAAAACAAAAAGAAACAACAGATCATAATACAGTTTATTAAAAAGAAAACCCTAATTAAAATATTGTCATACACTAACCTCAAAATGAAATCAATATCGGCTGAAATCTGACTCTTGGTTGCCAAAAGTCCTCTTTTGCAACCACTCCAAGCTCCAAAAATAATCAGGGACAATATCTTTCAATTTCAAGAGATATTGAAACAGTTACAAAAAAATTCGATCTTGGGAAATAACAAAAAAAAAAAATAACCCTCGGCCAAGGGCTATTTCTACCCTCAGCCAAGGGTTGTCAAGGTGCCGCCTTACATGGGTTCCTTGGGCATGCCCGTCAAGAACACCCCAACCACCCACCCCAAGAAAAAAAAAATACACAGCCTAGGGTATGCCTAGGCGGATTGTCAGCCAGGCCACCAAGGCGGCCAGGCAGCTCACTTTTTCATCTTTAACTGCATCACTTTCAAATCCTCACTATACCCAAGACAACCTACATCTGCCCAATGGCTTTCTCAGAGACAAAACAATCAACAGCCTGAACATTGCTGCATACCGCTAACATTAATAGGAATGAGCTTTGACCTTGGAATCTAAATTTACTACACTTCCCTATATCCAGCAACCTTCTGACTATCCACTCTCTATCACTTATCTGATTGGTTACCGTTCATGCACCAAATCAATAATTACTCCTCTCAATCTGATGGCCCTAAGTATCAACAATATGTCCTCCTACAACGAACCAACACCGTGAACTTCCCAAGTTATCCACAAATCTCCAATGCCACATCACAGGTTTGCAAAAGGATTCTTATTAAGTCCACTTAACTTTCTAAAACTCAAAATCCAAACCACTTGAGATTTATGGCCTAAAGACTAACTGAAACCAATAGTCATCCCAACCCTATCTCTAGATATGCACACTAAGCAGTCTATGCAAATTCCCCATAAGTGAGATCCGTTCCAGAAGGGTGAATCAAATAAACCATGCTGCTGGGCAATGATGATGCTTATCATGACATGACCCCATAAAGAGATATTAACTTCACAAGGATCTGAGAGCTTTTCAAACTACCCAATCAACAGGTCCTGCGATGTCTTTTGAGGCAATCCCATGCAGAGTAAATTTCGAAAATGTCTGGGAAGCCAAATTTTCTGTTCAGGTAATGATCAGTATCTCAGTGACAGAACCCACCCATTATGATCTCTGATGGTATCAGGTGGGTTTAATGGACAACCAACCAGCAACCATCTTATTCAATACAACAGCCATTATAGATGGCCAAACAGCCACTATACCAAGTTTGATACTTTAAACAAAAAAGGCATGAAAATGAATAGTAAAGTTTATTTTCAGAAAATTAAAAATCACAATATTGTATAAGAAATCCCTTTTGAGAGTAATATAATAAAGCAATCCTTAATACGAATACAGCACACCTCGCATCAAATTCTACCTTCTTTTCCTTGGCTAGCCCCACATCAAATTCTTCAATGATTTTCCGAGATCAAATGAAACAACATACTATATAAAGCAACATTTTCCAACTTGGTGAGTCTGACTCAAACTCGCCCGAGTTACTTGGACAAACATACAGAACTCAAGCAAATAATTTTGGAGACTTGCTTGACCCTATAGCCTCTAGAGAGCTTTTTCCCCCCTTTCTTTCACCATTGTGCAGCATATAGCCTACAAAGCACCCAATTTGAGCTCAAATATCATCCGCTTACTGATTTTTGCGGTGATCTATCCACTAGATAGATCAGATTTGAGAAAATAAAATAAAATTTGACGAATAGGAGATTGAAGACTACGACCTAGACTCCAATCAATTTCATAAACTTGCAATTTCTTCATAACAGGTGGTTGATCTTAAATGAAATTCAATAACGAAGCTTCTTTCTAACTTCTTCAACCAATAATAGGCTTATTTCACCCAAAACGTGGATTTTAATATTACAATTTTAGATTCACTACTCATCTACGACTTTTAAGAGCTTAGATATCCTAAATCCAAAGTGAAAACCCAAAAGTGGTTTCAGGTTTTTGATCGGGGTCATCTGAGGAAGTTATGACAAGAATTGGAGGTGTCATTTTTGTTTGGATGTATTTTGAATCAAAATCTTAAATAAGTCGTTGGGTTTGCTGCAATTTAGTCAGAATCAGGCTTAAACAACCGGGCTTCAAACTCAAGACCTAGTCAAAGCAGCTCAAAAGTACTTTGAAAGATCCTAGGATGATCAATGATGACTTTGAGGTGTGATTATCCAGGTTGCAAAAGGATTGACGAATGTCGGAGTAATGAACAGTTCAACTTTGATTGAACCAACCCATAGACGTTTAAACAGGAGAGTAACTTTAAGCCCATTCAAGCCAGTGCAAGTCTTGCCTAAAGCACATAAATGAGGTCAAGGAACAAGATCAAGGAGATCACGAATATGAAGTGACTGAAATGGTAAAACCGCAGTCAAGGATTGAGCAGGTCTAACTATCATGATTTTCAGCACCAAGCAACTAAGGAAATCATGCATAAGAATCCACATAAGATGTTTATGATCACGTGAAGAGTTTATGGTGATTCAGCACTCAGAATTGCTGTAGTCTAGATACCAATGTTTCGATTGAAAGTAGAGAGGAGCCACCTAACCACTGTGACATTTCAAATTTCAAATTTGAATTCTAAAATCCAGTTAGTTGATATTGGATAAGCCCAAGCCAATAAATTATCCTTCAATGCTTCTCCAAAAAGGAAACACCATTGAATCAAGGACTGTGCGGTTGAAGATTTTCGATGCTGTTAACACATGATTATCTAGTACAGAAAACACCAAATAGGTATTAATGCCACACTTCACGCCAATCTGAACAATGAAGAGAGAGAGAGAGAGAAAAGGCCCGAGACTCTTCCAAATCATCTCAAAGCCTTGCCATAACAAAATTTGCACAAAGCAAGAGAGAGATTGAGGTTGTGTTGCATTAAGTTTATTCCAATTCAGATAACTTAACAAAGAAGTAGCTCTATTTGTGTTTGTTTACTTAGTTGCATGGTTGCTTCATTCATGTTGCTTTCTTTGTCTCTATGTATTTCTTTACCTAGGCCTTTGATCAAAGGTTTTCCACTTTTGTACGAAACAATAATGGCTGTGAAATAAACAAGGTGACTGAGGTTCCTTTGGAACTCCTCCACCCCAGTCCAATATAAAAAAGATCTCGATCTTCATATGATCGAGTGTGAGCTCATAACTACCGCACCAGAATTTATTTCCTAATGGTAAAGCAAGAAAAGATTGTCACTTCATGAAAAATCCTATCATTATTGACCTAGAAGAACATATGACTGCAAGTCAATGACAAATAAAGAAAGATTGACAGAGAAAGATGTGATGATCTCAAAGTAAGGTTCATGGTCCAAGAATAGCAAGACCAATAGCATGTTATACAATCACTTTGAAGTTGGCATTAAGGAGAAGAACAACCAGTGGACTGTTTGCTTTTACACAGGTGCCTGAAACTAACAACTAAAAGTAAACAAAGACAATCTGAAAAAGTAATACTTCTTCAACATATACGAAGACTAGTGAAAATGATCTCCATTGGGAAGGAATAGCAAAAGCGCTTCACTGCCATGTAATAAATAAAAGCCATTGACAGGAATCCCTGAACTTGATAAAATTACAAAGTTAAGAAGCACAAAGGGCATGGTATATAGGAGGTTATATGTTCGTCGAGGACAGTTTGCTTGTGTGCATGACAAAGCCAATGCTCTATTGAGGAAAAATTTTGACAAATGCTCTGATGCACAAGAGATGCAGACATTGGCCGGTGCCAACGAGGATGAGTTCCCAAAGAAATCAGTTGCCCAACCAGAATTGAACTAGTCAAAGAAACATGGCTAATCTTATGAAATTTTCACAGTAGTATGCAAATATTGTACCTTTTTCAAGCATGTCAATAAAAGGTTGCAATGTTTTAGGTGCAACACAAAAAAAATCTTATTTTGGAGACTTCAAGAGAATCCCTGACTGCAATATGATAATAGACTGACAAAGAAACCAAGATAAACAAAAACTATGCGTATAGGTCCCACAAAAAATTGTACAGGGTAATTTGATGGCAACAGTGTAGAGTGCCATGTGCCTCAACCCCTCTACGAAGCCTTCCATCACATCTATATTAAGCGATCACATGTTAGTAATTGAAGAGTCTTTAGGCTAACATTAATGTAAGGTGCATATTTTCATAAACAAGCTTCTTACACAGATCATTATCATCATCATCATCATCATCATCATCATCATCATCATCATCGTCATCATCATCATCATCAAAGCTTTTTCCCAACTAATTGGGGTCGGAAACTTCTTACACAGAGCACTGGGAGCAAAACAATACTTTCCTAATCTGATTATGCACTCAATGGGATACAAATTTCTATGAATAACTCAATTAATTATGTTTTTCTCATGAACAAAATTAATTAACGATCGTCATAAAAATAAGATATATACCCACTTTGAGATTTAGAGCCACCGAGTGTAACAAATTAAACTAGGAAGATCTAACTAATAATTAAACATGGGATACATACAATCTGGTCAAAACCAAAACCATTAAGCAAAGAAATGCCCAAATGGAAAATAGATAAATACTTGGATAGTCACTTCCAAATTAAGAATAACCAAATCTAACCAACTAGAACTGAGGACATCCATCCACTAAACCTCACTAAGGAGACATGCAAAAAACATGAAACCTCCTCAAAATCAATCCATTAAACAACAAAGAAACCCCCAAAATGTAAAACAAACGATCAAGTACTCACTTGCGATTCTGAATAGTATTGCAGATAAATTCATTTAATTGAATGATCGAACCCTTCTGCAACGTCCCATTCTTCACAAAATCATTCATTTGGGTAGCAAGCATAGCTTGTTGTCCATGAACGCCATCAGAGACCACCATGCGAAATCGATCAGCAGTTGTTTTATCAGAGCCAACTGATCTTAGGTCCACAATCTGAACAACTGGCTTGAACCCCTCATCATGACCATCGCAGATTTGGGGTATGGAATTCACAGTAAGATTAACAGCCATTTTATTTAAAATTTATAGGAAGATCAAACCTAGAGAAAATTGAAAACGGAACAAATGTACAGAAAATATATGGTACCGAGAGAAACCTGGAGATGAAACAGCAAACAGAAGTGCGAGCATGCAATAGTGGTGATTTGGGTTAGGGTAACAATGCTAGTAAAAAAAAAAAAAACCCTAGGAGCAGGGAAGTAAGCAATGAATAGCAATGGAAAATAAAGAGAGAATCGCTACAGGATGAAGGCATGGAGAGAGAACTCGAATGCCTGTCCTTCTAAACAACTGGATGGCAGTTGATGAAACCCTAGAGAGAGAAACTGGGCGACGATCGTTCTTCTCGACACAGCGGAAAAAAAGATTAGAGTAAGGAGAAAAAACTCTGCGATTAAAGAGAGGAAACTCCAAAGGGCACCCTCCCAGTGTAACTTGCAAAAGGAGAGCGAGAAATTGGAGCGAAAACCTAACCCTATAAATGGCGGACCGAGACTGTACTGAGAGAGAACGGTAAGAAAGCGAGGAGGTTTCGGAGAAGAGGGAATTCGAAAAGACCTTAAATTCGTGACCCGCCAAAAACTTTTCGAAATCCAATTTGATAGGATTTGGCATCCGGACTAAATATGGATGGAATTCGCACGGGAAGGCCACGTAAGAGTCCTGGAACCCACATGTTGTGTGTTAGGGAAGTTGAGGGGCATTCATCGGCCTACAAATTAAGAGCCTAACCTTAATATATCACCATTATTTACCTTTTGGTATAATGGGGTCACAATTAATATTTACAATTAAATGTAAAATTGGGTGGCTGTATTTTTTTTGTTGACCAAACTTAAAGTTCAAAAGCAATTTTTTGATAACTTTATGGCACACCTAAACTATCAAATTTCACTTCGGATAGTTGTAACTTGCAACTAATTATGACCTCTGTATACCAAAAGTAATTAGTGTCATTGTATACAATCGTGAAAAGAAAAATTGCAATACATTTTTCCCAATCCTTCACAATATCATTGAGGATGTCAAAACATCCCAATTAAAAAAAAAATTGGTAAAACGACTTGTAACCCTTTCTCTGCAATTTTCACGACTGTTTTAAAAATTTGGGACAATTAAACCCCCAATTATGTTTTGAGAAAGTATATAATGAGACCATTTACCTTTGGTACAAGGTGATCACAATTAATCTTGGCCACTAGATGTGATATTGAATTACTACAATTATTTTATTAACTAAGCTCAAAGTCCAAAAAAAAGTTTCTCAAACTTTGTGACACATCCAAGCTATCAAATTTCACATCATATGGTTGTAAGTAATTGTGGTCTCCACTATATGAAAGATAAATGGTCTCATTGTATACAACCCCTTGTGTTTTCCTTTATTCTTTTAAAAAATTTGTCCTTTCGTTTTACAAATTGCTAAACCTATATATATATATATATGCTTTATACACAAAAATTAATAATAGGTATTTTGCTTAATTCCTTTAATGAGTGAACCAATAATTCATTCGCAATAGTAATAAAGATTTTGATTAATAATTTACAAGGTTATTAAAGAAAACAAATGTATAAGTTTGTAGAGTGGGGCTTGTAAGAAAGGGACTGGGGCCGTGGTGTAGCACCCCCACACCATAATCACCATGTTATGGTTTCTATTCTCATTGACATAACCCCACTAACATCTTAAAAAAAACAACTCTTAAACTATTTGAAAAAAATGAATAGGAGATTGTCTTCCCCACTGAAGAAATGGGATTACACCACCTCACTAATACCTTAAAAAAAAGTAACTATTTGCGTATTTGATAACTGGAAGCAAGAACTGAAAATTGGAAGTTACCGAAGAACTATAAATTAGAAGTTACTTAAGAAGTTAATTGTTTGATAACCTCTCTGGGAAGTTAAGAAGTCCATAGTTTTTGTGTTTGATAGCTCTTGAGATATATGGTAAATATCTTATATTTATATTTACATAGATAATAATTTAAATAGGAATATATAATGTTTATAACATACTATAATATATGATATTACTGTATAAAATATATATTTTTAATATATATATATATATTATTTATATAATAAATATTTATAATATTATATAATAAAAATATATACAATATATAATATATTATGTTATAATATATATATATATATATATTTCATGGACAAAATAAAAAAGTTCCCTTTTTGAATTTCATGGTTTACCATAGAACTTTACTCAAGCCTAAAAGGTGAGAACTTCAACAGTAAAAGGGAGTTCTCAAATTATCTTATGTTTTTTATCAAACACATAACCTGAACAGTAATAAGTAAAGTTCCTTATTCTTTTTCTAACTTCATGTTATCAAACATGCCCTTAAACTTTTGAAAAAATGAATAGCGCTATTTCCCATTAAATTACAAAAAAAAAAAAGGGTAGGGCCGTCTTCCCACTTAAACCCCCCCCCCCCCCCCAAAAACGAAAAGGGGTCCTGCTAAGGTAAGTTTCGTTATGGCAACGTGAAAAAGAAAAAGAAGGTCAATCTTCAATGAAATTCGTTATGGCAACACGAAAAAGAAGCAAAAAGGGTTAATCTTAAATGAAATTCGACATTGAATCTTATTTTTAGGTTCTCATTTTGGAAAAAGTTTATATAAGTGTGAGGATCTAAACAATCAAATTAAGGTGCACCTCAAAAATTCATTAGAATAAGTTGTTTCAATGCCCTAAATTATTTAAATTGATCATTTTTTTTTTGGTACGTATTCAAATTGATCATCTCAACCTCAAGATGTACGAACATAACCAAAAAATAGATTTCAAGTATTGGAAATAGTGAATATTGTAATGTATTTTTTGACCGTTAATTTTTAAGATTTCCAAGTGTTCATAGATATGCTCCATCTACATTATTTTTTGAAGTTTAAAATTTAGAATTGGGTGCGGTTTGTATAGAGCATAGGCTCTAAACAATCAAATTAGAGCCTACCTTCAAATAGAATGTAGTTTCAATATTGGAAATGTTTGTGATAGCCTTAAAATATATTTTTATATTTATTTATAAAGTTTAAAGCTTAAAAAATAGTGTAGATCGACATATATATGAAAACTTGGAAATCTTGAAAATTCATGATAAAAAAATGTGTTACAAAATACACTAGTTCCAAAAATTGAAATCTATTTTTTTCTCATGTCCATGCTTATTGATGTTGAGATGATCAATTTGAAGATATTTGAACATCAAAACAACCTCTTCCAGTGAGACTTTTGAGATAGGCTCAAATTTGATAGGCTCTATATAAATTTTTCCCTTTAAAATTAGATATGGAAATAAAATTTCAAACCAGTCATAAAGATTTCCCATGTGGAAGTACGCCCTACTGTGATGGTTTAGACTTTAGAGCCTCGGCCTTAAAGAAACCACACCCTTCAATAATAGCCTCTATTTAACCCGAAAACACGGACTTCTAACATTATAATTTGTGGATTCACTATTCAAATAAAAATTCGAAGCGCTTAGATCTCCTAATCCAAAGTGAAAAACCCTAAGGTGGCTTTTAAGATGATTTTGCTGCAAAAGGATTGGCGAAGGGGGAATAATAAACAGTTTAACTCTGATTGATCAAGAAGATCGGGAATTTGAAACCGCAGAACCGCAGTCAAGGATTGAGCAGGTCTAAACAATTCAAACTCTTTCTAAACCCCAAAAAAGTTTCAGCCTTTACTATCTCTCTCTAAAAAACCTACAAAAAAAGGCTCCTATTTCTCACCATTAATTGTTTGAGGAAAACCATTCCTAGTCTTTCTAAAAACCCACAAAGAAAGGTTCGATCTTTTTCCAATTGGTTTTCCAAGGCAGCCATTGAAGTCCTAGATGAAATTCCCCTTCGAACAATCGAAAATGAGAAGAAATATATTGAGAATACTTTTTGCATACATCCCACCATAAGCCTTAGAGAGGCCTCTTCAAGCCCCCAACTTTTATCCCAATTGATAAGAAAATGCCTACATTTCAGAAATATAAAATGTGGAAAGCAAGTCCATGGCATATGTATTTCATCTGGCATTGAAAACTATGTTGTTTTGAATAATAATTTGATACTTTTCTACTGTAAATGTCGTGATCTAAACGATGCCCGAAAAGTGTTTGATAGAATGCTTGAAAGAAATAGTGTTACGTGGACTGTTACGATCTCTGGTTATGTTCAAAATGGGTATTTCTTCGAGTCTCTTAGGTTGTTTAATGAAATGAGGAAGTTGTGTTTTGCTATTGATCAATATGCATTGTCAGTCATGCTGCGTGCTTGCGTAGCGACCATGTCTCTGATCTTGGGTCGGCAAATTCATGCTCTTTTGATCAAATTTGGAACTGGATTTTCTGTTTTTCTGGGCAATATAGTTATTGATATGTATGTTAAGTGTTTTTGCTTGGAAGATGCTAATAAATTCTTGGATGAAATGCCTGAGAGGAGTGTTGTTTCTTGGACTAGTGTCATTGCTGGCTACACAAGGGACAGTGATTGTCTAGAGGGGTTTGAGCTTTTTACAAGGATGGTTCGAGAGGGTCATCGACCTGATCAATCGGCTTTTGCCAGTGTTTTAAGGGGTACTTCAGTCCATGATTTGAAACCGGGGATCCAACTTCATGGGTTTGCTCTGAAAACTGGGTTTGAAGCCGATTTGATAGTGGGATGTGCCATTGTTGACCTTTATTTGAAATGCTCTAGTCTAAATGAAGCCAAAAGATTATTTTCTCTGATGCCTCAGAAAAGTGTGATCTCGTGGACTACCATGATTGTGGGGTACGTTTGTCATGGGCATTCGATGGATGCATTGGATCTCTTTCTTAAGATGAGGCAAATGGGAATGGAGGGGGATGAGTATACTGCATCAGCTATTCTCAGAGCTTGTGCTATGGCAGTGGCTCTAGAGCAAGGGAAGCAAGCACATTGTTATATTATCAAAAGAGGGCTAGAATTGGATGTATCAGTGACTAATGCACTCATCGACATGTATGGGAAGTGTGGTGATATTCTTAGTGCCCATGATGTATTTTTAGCGGAAAAAGAACCAGACTTAGCGTCATGGAATGCTATGATATGCGGATTTGCCCAGCATGGTCATGGGAAAGAAGCAATTGAGTTTTTTGAGAGAATGAAAAGGCTAGGAGTGGACCCTGATGCAATTACCTTTGTGGGGGTTCTCTCTGGTTGCAGCCATGGTGGCCTAGTGGAGGAAGGCTCAGCTTACTTTAGAATGATGACACAGAAATATAAGATAACTCCCACAGAAGAGCATTCTGGTTGCATGGTAGACCTTTACGGTAGAGCTGGGTTAATAGGTGAAGCTTTGAGGTTCATTAGAGAGATGGGTGTGAAGCCAGGTGATTCAGTTTGGGGTGCTTTACTCGGGGCTTGTAGAATTCATGGGAACATTAGGGTTGCTGAAAAGGCAGTAAATGAACTAATGGAGCTTATGCCAGAGAACCCAGTAGCATATATATGCCTAGCAAATATTTATGCTGCAGCTGGTCGGTGGCAGGATGTGGGTTTTATGAGGAAGTTAATGGCAGAGAAGGGTATTAAGAAAGTTGCTGGGTGCAGCTGGATTCAACTGGAGAATAAGGTCCATATGTTTGTTGTTGGAGATGGAAATCACCCACAATGGAAAGATATAAATAGTGCGTTGGGAATTCTTTCAGTTCATATGACAGATATAGGTTCATTACCAAATTATCCAATTCATATTGGAATTCTCTTTGAAACTTGAAATCCAAAGATATTTTAATGTTGGTATTCTGTCCATGCTAACCAGTTTGTATTGAATCAGTGTCTGAAACAATACTGATATGTACACTCAAATAATACAGAAAGTTTGCGTTCTTCCTATGTTTTGTGTTGCATCAATCACTATACAAGTCCCTGTGTCCTTGTGTTAAACTTCTTGTATCGAGAGAATCCTTAATTCTTACGTGCTGCTCCAGTACTGTTTTATTCTGACATTGATTCATTACTTTAAGAGTAACAAATGAAGCCCTCAATCATGGGCAATTTGACATAATTGTATTTCTTCTACTTCTACGGCTGTGCTTTTGGTTTAAATCATATTTGCTTGGATTTTTTTTGCAGATATGCTTAAAAGAAAAGGTTATCTTTGGTCAATGGAGTTCTTAACAACTTAATATATTTTGATCATCTTTTTTCTTTTTTTTTTCAATAATTCAGAGCTGTTTATTGTTTGTATGTGTAAATTGAAGCAAAAAACTTGCGAAGCCTGTTTATCTAACGAGACAACAGCACTGAACCTGATGAGTTATATATCTATAGTTTCTCAGTCATTTTATAGACACTTAGAACGCAGGCAATTGGAGCTCTTAAAAGCAATAATTGCCGTTGCAGGTCTCCTTTTGAACGTAACTGGCTTCTGCGACCTCCCACTCTTTGCTTGCCAAGATTGAAGGTGAGAAAGTTGGATTTTGAAGGTATGAATGATATATTGAATGCAGTTCTATGATCAGTGTAAAAATGGCAAAAGAAAAACTCATCTTCCTAAATTTACTTACTAGCCAGTGTAGATTTGTTCATGAAACCCAAGTTAGGAAGCCAAGATGTTAATCACATGAATGACAAACTTCAATATAAGCAAAAAGAAAAGGTACAAAGAGTGAAAAAGAGAGACCTGTTTGTTTGTCACACTGTATTTCTTCAAATGCTCCTCTCTTTTGGAGTTTGTATTTCATGTTTTGGCATCAAATCATGTTCAGTTATGTTAACCAACAAATCTGACATGCGAAATTAAAGGAAGCACATGTGAGTATATACGATTGACCAGTATTGAGGAAATGAAAACAAACTTAAGGTATGTTTGGTAACTGAAAAAGCTGTTTTCTTGGAGAATCTCAAAGAAACTGGAAGCCTGAGAAAAAAGATAGAAGTAGAAAACTTTGGTTGAAAGCTGAGAACCCTTGTTTGGTAACCTATCTGTGAAAGCTGGAGAAAGCTCGGGCTAGAGCTTGGGCAAAGAGAGATTGAGAGGGGGGAGATATTGAGAGATTAGAGAAATAAAAGGCCATTTTGTTTCTCCATTTTCTTGAGAAATCGGCAGCCCATCTTGCGCTGCAGTTTTCCCCAAAAATGGGGAAAAGTGTGGAAACACAGAGAAATGCGGGGCCTCCCCGTTTCCACGCTTTTCCGCATTGCCAAGAAGGGAAAATATGGTAACTGAGAAAATAGGTTATTTTCTCTTGTTGTCTCAGTTACCAAACAAGGCCTTAATGGGCTTAATTTCATAACGAACTTACAAAGAAGGTAGTCACATATTCCATTGGTTCATTCCATATATAAACACCTTGAACAGAAAAATGTGATAAGAGAACATAATGTTCAAGAAAGAAAATATCTAAAATAAAAGAGAACATAGATGATCAAACCCAAGCTAATGGCGGTATGCAATTCCTAGCTGGTGCCAAGAAAAAGGAAATAGGTTTCTATTTATATGGTCATCAAAAAGATTTATTGAGGCATGGTAATTCTCAGCAAAAAAATCCCAAGTTTAGGTCTGGATAGTAAGGAAAGGATTATGCATCATATGCAAAAATCCACTAAAGTCGGTCACTAGATGCATAATGTTGAAGGGGTATCCAAGTCTCAATGGAAAAGGGAAAAATATCAATGCCATTGAGATAATCTTCTAGCAACGTAATTTTTATATCTAAGGTGATAATCTTCCACTGCTATCAAAGAGAGTCCATGTAAATTGAAATTGATGGGGCCCTTCATCAATATACACTCATATAGCATCTTCAACTTAGAACAGTCCATAACAACAGCTTTGAAACAGCAGTAATAGCATTGAACTGGATTCAAGAACTTAATAGTCGAGGTTCTGATTCTTTTATGGGCATGTGTATGTCTCTGTTGTTTTGAAGAGAGGTAGGGACATTTGTATGTCACTTTATGAGTGGATCATATGCTCTTTTTCTATTTGTTTGCTTGCTCCCATTTTGTAGGGGAGGTGACTTCATATCATTGGAGAATCTGTTCTTCTTCACTAAGACCTTTCCAGTATGTCATGTCCTATTCTAGGCTTTATCTTAACATTTCATTGAAAGTATATATCAAGTGCTTATCTTCGTCTAAGTTTGCTTAGTAAACATTCTAACTGCTTTTTATTTGCAAATCCTGTTTATCTATTGAGGCAACAACACTGAACCTTATGAGTTATATATCTATAGTTGCTCAGTCATTTTAGATACTCTTAGAACACAGGCAATTGAAGCATCTATAAGCAAATAATTTCCATTACAGGTCTCTGTTTTGAACGTAGCTTGCTTCTGCGACCTCCCACTCTGTGTCTTTCCAACATTGAAAGTGAGAAAGTTGGATTTTGAAGATATGGATGGTATATTGCATACATATATACCTACATAAATTCATACATACATACATACATACATACATATATATATGTAGCACATGTTTCCACTGGCCACGAATACGTGAGCATTTTACAACGGTGATTTTGGAAAACTTCTGTTCATGGCAGTGCTTGGGTGTTTTGACTTTTTCTTAGAAGTCCCACCAAAGTTTAGTTTGATGGTTTTGGTTGTGGTTGGATCCAAATTGACAATGCTTGATATTTTTCTGGAAAATTCTCTTATCCCTTGCCAAGGCACCACAGCCAAAGTGTGGAATCGGTGGGGATGCCTAGTATTGAAAGAGGCATTATATTGATTGTGGTCCAACCCATGTTTAAACTGAATAAATTTAAAAAGTGGACCAGGGTGGCTAGGCTCTTGCAATGGAGAAAGAGATGTTCTACTCTTTCTTCTTCACAACGTAATACATCTGGTAGGAGAGGAGAGCCAAGGTTTTGCAGGTGGTTGAATCAGTGTTTCAGGAAGGCATCAGAGCCCTGGATGCCTAGGTAGTGCCATGGACACCTTGGTGGGTGCCTCATGTATGAGCCGCCCCATACAGGATGATGGAGGAGTTGGAGGTTTCAAGGGGTTCAGGTTTGATGTCAAACCTCCTGGCTTATGGTTTTCTTTTTAAAAGAAAAAATAGAAAACAACTTTTGTGTATTGTGCATTTCATGGCTCTTGAGTTTGAAATTTGCATAATTAGCAATAGAGAAGACTATACTTGCACAAACTTGAATTTTTGATAATAACAATTGGTCATGCAACATTGAAGATATGGACCATAGGCTAGATAGATTAGGCCCTACAGATTAAGTAGACCTATAAACAATGACATGTCTTGTAAGACCCTATTAGTCCTCTCCCAAGTCCAAAAAACAACAAAACAAATTGCAAATTGAGTTTTATCTTCAAGGTCCAAAATCTCATCGTGAGCATATCGCCAACTCCATCACCACCATTCCTTGCATCTGATGCGAGCCATCGTCATTTGAGTTGTCTCCCTCTTGACATGGTACTCACTCCTCCTTTATTGCCTCAACCTCCTGTATGAAGATGTAGTGGCCAGCATAAGTCCAATGTTGTTCTTGCAACCTCACAAAATTTGCCCCTATTTAAACCTTCTATGAGGTAGACCTGATTCTCTCTAGCATTGACCAATCACTCACCAAAATCATCCATGTCTCTCACACCAGTGTTTCAAAAAGCGGACTGCCCAGCGCCTGGGCAGCCGCCTAGGCAGATATCACTGGGCGCCTGCCTAAACCCACCTAGGCGGCTGCCCAGGGCCGCGACCTACCCAGGAGTAGAAATGCGGTTCCTTGAGGGTTTTTATGAGTCATTTTTTTAATATTAAAAGACCAAAATTGTGGGTTGTAGGTTCAGTTGAAACCTAAAACCCATTAGTGGCTATTTTAGAGAGAGGAAACCCAAAAACCAAAATTTTTCTATTGGGCCGCCCAGGTTTTGGGCGCCCACCTAGGCACTAGGCGGCTTGGACCTCCCGACCACCTAGGTGCCGCCTAGCGCTTTTTGAAACACTGTCTCACACCAATGTGGTCAATATGAATGCCGTCTTGCTAGTGCTCATTCAACCCTTGATTATATTGAAGAGATATTAGTTCGTTAAGTCTCTTGCGCTTGAACCTGTTTCTGTTTTTCATATGGGCCTCTTGGATAATGCATGAATACATGATTCTGAAAAAAAAAAAAAGCAATTTAGGGGTGGAAGGCACAATGAGAGTTAAGAAATTATCAACTCAATGTGCTAAAAGTTGTGGAAGCAGCCTCATGATCTACAGGTGAGGTTCAATACATGAAGGGCTATCCTCTACAAGTGTGAGGCTCTTTCCCCAAGTGTGCAACACCATAAAGCCACATTACATAGCAATACCATTTCTTAAAAAGCAAATTCATAGATTGTAGTAGTATTATATAATTAAAGTACTCAACTCACAAATGAATGTATAAGCAAAGCGATTACTTAGATGGAGTTTAATCCCCTGCCTTCTTGTCGTATCTATGCCAAGTGACTTCATTAAGAACTTTACATATTCAGCTCCATGTTATGAGATCTTGAAGGTTCACATTGGGATTGAGTGTCATGTTTGCACATATGAAATCCATCCATGATCCAACTCCTTGAATTGATATAATATTCTGTAAAAATTTGGTGGGCTGAGAAAATACTCTTCTGCATGCAAGGACCGATGTAGCTACCTAGCTGCCTATCCCACTTTTCATGTATAATGTCCTAAGTTTATTTTTCTCTTCCTCATTATTTCCTCAACCCATGATTAGTTCCTTTTAACCATACACTAAGCACAATACCTCCACAAAAGGATTGAATGCCTAGAGGGAATAATCCATCCCATTTCAAAATTGAATCTCAAAACCAGTATTGCACCTTCTTCTCCTTTTCATGCTTGGTCCCCTTGCTTTTAATCCATTGTTGAGAGACCCTTGGCTCGTCGTTTTTGTCACTTTGGCCTCACCCAACTTCTTAGTGAACTTCCCCATCATGGCAAGGACTTGTGTGTGGTTATGCATGTTATGCATAATACTAGTTATGGTTTTTGCTTTCTGTTTTGTCCGGTCAACAATTTAACTTACCAATTGCCTCAAGCATAAGGTCCGTCAACGCAGTGTGCCACTCATGGAGTACAAAAAATATTTAGTCTCTTCACCTCAATAGTGTGGTGAATATCAGTTAGTTGCAGCTGTGCTACTTGCCGACTTCACTTATACAACTGCCAATTATTCTGAAAATGAAAATTTCATTATGTGTTTCCTTAGATGCATCATGGGACCTCAAAAATATTGTCCTCATTAGACAGTCCACCATAAAATTCATTATATTTCTCCCCCTCTCATCGGTCCATGGAGGTCATGATGGTGACCTCATGCTTTCCCCCCTGCATCTTTATGGGTCTTTTGATACTTGTAGATCCACCTCCTTCTCTATTAAGGCCCCCTGAGCTTATAAGGTGTATGGGCCTTCAACTTGGGTCCATATTGCCTCGCTCCTTCCATAATAGCTTGAAAGCTTTTAAAGCTATCAACTTTGAAAGAAATGTCTACTTGGTCTGTCCATCGGGTTATGTATGGGCATACCCTGCCCTTATACTCCTTGAAGCAATTCTCTATGGTGTTTGCTTCCTGTGCCTGAGCATGGCCTTGGGATTAAGTGTTACATAAAAATCCATTGGCCTTCTTGTGTCTAGCTAGCACCCCCTGCCTACTAACTTTAATTGAGTGCACCTCGAGCTTCCGTTCTTTAACATAATAAGAATCTACTTCTTCTCCCCAAAGGCATTGACTTACATAACATTCTCCTCATGTTCCTTCTTTTTATCTTCTTCTTCTTTTGTACTGACTCCAAATGGGTGAGCATTTCTCTCCTAAGATCAGTCGGTGCTGCCTTGCATTGGGGCTACATCACCTCTAATACTAGCCATTTTTCTTAATTTGATGTATTCCAGATTTGTAATACTACTATAAAAATCACCTTGAATTTAATTTTAGCTTTTGCATTGGCATAGAGGCGTATTTTGATCCAATGTCATTTTGTTTACTTTAACCATAAATGGTGCCGCCACCAGAGGCTAAAAACTCACAAAACCAAAAGCAAATCTTGAATAAATATAAGAAATTAACAAAGCAATGAATGCCACCTTGAATGCCACCTTCATTGCCCTTATCCCTAAGCTTGAGGGAGTGGATTAACCAAAGGCCTTAGGCTGATCAGCCTTATTAACAGCTCCTTTAAATTGCTGTCCAAGGTTTTGGCCTCAAGACTTAAAGAGGTCCTTAGCAATTTAATCTCCCCCACACAGGGGGCATTCGTTAAAGACCTGAAAATCTTAGATGGGGCCTTCATAGCCCACGAATGCATCCATTCCCGGCATTCCTCAAAGACTTCTGGTCTCGTCATTAAGCTCAATTGGGAGAAAGCTTATGACCACTTCGATTGGTCAATTTTAGATGAAGCTATGCGGCGTATGGAGTTTGGCCATCTTTGAAGAAAATGGATCCGTGCTTGTATCCCATCCCCTATCTTCTCAATCCCCATCAATGGAAGCCCAAAAGACTACTTCCCTTCTTCATGGGGGCTCCGCCAAGGAGATCCCCTATCGCCCTTCTTATTCGCCATTGTGGCTGAAATTTTCAGTTCTTCTATTTCTAGATTGTACCAAGCAGGCCTCATTAAGGGATTCAAATCTCGGCCCCTCGGTCTGCACATCTCTCACCTCCAATACGTGGACGACACCCTCCTTTTCTGTGATCCATCTACCCAACAGGTGGACTTCTTGCTCATCTTATTAAAATGTTTCGAGATGGCTACCGGTTTCAAGGTCAACCTCGCCAAATCCAAGATGACTGGGGTTTGCATGGAACCACACCAAATCCATGCTTTAGCTGATAGATGGGGCTGCTCCATAGAGCCTCTACCTTTTACTTATCTTGGTTTGCCTCTGTATATTGGCAAGCCTCACATCATCGATACATTCGATCGTAGACTAGCGGGGTGGAAGGAGAGATTTCTTTCACTGGCTGCCAGGCTTACCCTTCTCAAAGCGACTCTAGCAAATACTCCGGTGTATCAAATGTCTCTTTTCTACCTCCCCGCCGCGGTAGCAGCCA